GAGTCTCGCTCTGTCGCCCAGGCTGGAGTGCAGTGGCACGATCTCGGCTCACTGCAAGCTCCGCCTCCCGGGTTCACGCCATTCTCCTGCCTCAGCCTCCCGAGTAGCTGGGACTACAGGCGCCCACAACCGCGCCCGGCTAATTTTTTGTATTTTTAGTAGAGACGGGGTTTCACCGTGGTCTCGATCTCCTGACCTTGTGATCCGCCCGCCTCGGCCTCCCAAAGTGCTGGGATTACAGGCGTGAGCCACCGCGCCCGGCGCCTGGCCTAATTTTTTTGTGTTTTTAACAGAGATGGGGTTTCACCATGTTTACTAGGCTGGTCTTGAACTCCTGGCCTCAAGTGATCTGCCCTCCTTGGCCTCCCAAAGTGCTGGGATTACAGGCATGAGCCACTGTGCCTGGCCAGATATTTCTGATCTGTGTGTTCATTGTAGCACGAGGTAATGTGAATGCTCATGCTTAGTACTTGGCTGCAGGCAATAGATGGCACACAAGAAACTCCACTGGGTCTCCCATCAACACCGGAGGGATAGAAATGTCCTCTCTTACTCATCCAACTTAAAGAGAAACCTGCTACCCAAAGAACAGGATACATTCTTCAACATGGGGAACAGTGGAGGAGGAGGTCCTAGGTAATTTTTTTTCTGGCCACCTGTTTTGTAAAAGACCAGGAGGCAATGAGCATCCCTTTCAGTACAATTTGGCCATGTGTTTGGCTCGCTAACATCCTCACATGTGTATTTATACCCACGGTATTTCTAGAAAATATACCCAGATCCAGCAAGCCCTCCCTCTGTGCATGGAGTTGATTTTTTTTTTTTTTCAGCCTGGGTATTAAAATTCTGCCTGAGTGCTGTCTTTAAATTGCTTTGATGCTAGGTGGGTTCCAACCCTGACCTGTCCTGATGGCAAGTGATGCCTGTAACAAGCTCAGGATCAATATTCATAGCGGGTGTCCTGGGCTGATAACACTATCCAAGACAATGTTCACTATCAGTGCAGACAGCTGAGATATTGCACCATTAGGGATGTTGTGTTAAATAACCTGATCCATTTCTGGGGCTATTTAATGAATTTCACAGTTTAGATAGTATCTTTAAGGAGGAGGCAAAGGCTATTCCGGAGGCACTGATGCAAATCAATGGTGCCAAGCTTCCCAAGGTATTCCACAAACAAAGGTGCCTATAATTCCAGCACAGCCTTGAAGAGCCGCTGCGTGCCATGAATAGTGTTAACAATGGAAAGAATTTGCAGTTTATGCAGAGGGAGTGTGGGGGCGTGGGTGGGGGCAGGCAATATTATGAGCCATGTTAAAGCATTTTAGATAAAATCTTATGTTCCTGAAGTAAAATGCAATTGAAATTCTCCAGGTAAAACCCTGCATTTTGAGCCAGCCCCCAGGGCAGGATATATATGCCAAAAAGACAGCTTCATAAGACAGTTTGATGGCAAACAGGGAAACCTCATCTGCCAGACAGCCTGTGGGTAACCCCTTTCCCAGTACCTCAGCCACCTGCCCCAAGATGTGCTTCTTCATCTCAAATTGGTCTATAAGATGGGAGAGGGCAGGCACTAGATTTTAGAAGGAAGCTACAGATAGCAGAGTCTGTCGTTTGTTTACCGGACTCTATGTCCCTTGGTGCTGGAGAGGTCATTTACAATTAAAGGCTAGCGTTTACCATTTCCCACCAGAGCTTTGAACTCTGGCTGCCAAGCACAGCAAGCATTCCTAAAAAACAAACAAACAAACAAACAAACAAAAAACACCTCATAGACTAACTTGTGAAAACTGAGTTGAAAATATAGCCTTCCCACCTGACCCCAGACCAAAGTTTAAAAAGATTGACTCCCTCATTTTAGGACATGCTCCCTGCCACTGGTGGGTGCTTGAGCTTAATGGGCAAGGAAAATGGAGATGCGTGGCCGCTGAGGGACACATGTTCACTGAAGCTATGGAGATGCAGAAACTCGGCAGGGACATGGAGAGTCAAAAACAAGTGTGCAGGCTGGGCACAGTGGCTCACATCTGTAATCCCAGCACTTTGGGAGGCCAAGGCGGGCGGAACACCTGAGGTCAGGAGTTCAAGACCAGCCTGGCCAACTTGGTGAAACTCCGTCTCTACTAAAAATACAAAAATTAGCCAGGCATGGTGGTGTGTGCCTATAATCCAAGCTATTGGGGAGGCTGAGGCAGAAGAATTGCTTAAACCCAAAAGGCGGAGGTTGCAGTGAGCCAAGATCGTGCCATTGCACTCCAGTGTGAGAGACAGAGCAAGACTCTGTCTAAAACAAAACAAAACGTTAGTCGGGCGTGGTGGCACGCACCTGTAATCCCAGCTACTCGCCAGTTACTCAGGAGGCTGAGGCATAAGAATCGCTTAAACTCGGGAGGTGAAGGCTGCAGTGAGCTGAGATCGCGCCAATGCACTTTAGCCTGGGCAACAGCGCGAGACCCGGTCCCCCCCCCCAATTCTTGGCTTTTTCTCCAATTTGTTGCTTCTTCCTTTTTCGGCTCCTTTCCTATATTTAACATCTGTGAACCTCAAGGGAAAGATTATTCATATCATTTAAACAAAATTTTTTGAGGTAATCTATGGAGTACAATGGAAATGATCCGGGTTTGGGTTACTCTTAGCTGTCTGGGCCTCCCTTGACCCTCTGGTTCAAGGTATAGGGTAGCCCCTGGAATGCCCACCATCCTGTGAAAATAAAGAGTCTCAAGGTTTCTTACAGGAGAATGAATAAGAGGGACAGTGGGAAGCCACGTACTGCCATCTGGGGCTAACTTAAGGAAACCTATTACTAACTACCCTGAAGAACCTTAGCATTTAAAAATGTAAACATGAGCCAGGCACAATGGCTCACGCCTGTAATCTCAGCACTTTGGGAGCCTGAGGTGGGCAGATCACTTGAGATCATGAGTTTGAGACCAGCCTGGCCAACATGTTGAAAACCAGTCTCTAGTAATAATACAAAAATTAGCCAGGCACAGTGGCGTGCACCTGTAATCCCAGCTACTCGGGAGGCGGAGGCAGGAGAATTGCTTGAACCCAGGAGGGAGAGGTTGCACAGTCAGCTGAGATCGCGCCACTGCACTCCAGCCTGGGTGACAGAGCAAGACTCTATCTCAAAAAAAAAAAAAAAAAAAAGTAAACATGGTGGGAAAAGGCAGAAGTAGCGGCTAGGATCAAAAGGGTGAAGGGGGAGAAACAAAAAAGATTAGAAAAAAAAATCGAGAACTGGGTGAGAAAGCGTTATCAAAACAGAAAACAAAGTACCCTATCTGTATTTCAGGAAGACTCTGTGATTTGCAGTCCAGGTTCTTGGGCACCACTTTTTAGTTTCAGGGCCATCTTTTCTTTGGGTTTTTCACATGGTGTGCAGTCCGTTTCGTGGGAGGTGGTCCAGTGGGCTTGGGAGAGGCACTTCCTTTCCTGAGCTTTAAAAGCACAATCCATCTCCACTTTAGGACTGAAGCTGGCTTGAATTTCGGCAGGGCTTTAAAGTCCGCAGGGAATACAGTGACCACCTCTGGGAGGGGCAGCAAGGTTTGAATGAGAAAAGCTACAAGGAGCTGGCTTCTAAGGATGCCTCTTCAATAACAGATGGGATTAGCAGCCCCCAGCACTTTAATGAGAAGGTTTCTCCTCCTCTTCCTACTCCTTACCTGCTCAGACAATATTAATTGCCAGGTCATTGTTTGGAAACCCCATGGGGCAGAGAAGAAAGGAACAGCAGCGTCAGAGGTGGTTCTGAGCCAAACACTAGGAGAAGCCTCAGAGTTTGCCTGAAACAAATGCTTAGCGCTCACAGACTGCTGTGTGCCCTCCAAGAGACAAAAGAAGAAATTTAGGATGAGTGTGGTCAGTGGAATGTGGTCAGTGGAAGCTTCTCCAACCACTGGTGATCACCTTCCCAGGGGACTTCGTGGGGCAGATGAGGGCCATTTCAACTGTTTCTCTTCTCTGACCTTAAATTCAAACCAGACAGGCATTTCTGAATCTTCTGCTTCTGGGGCTGGGAGGGAATGGGGGTCTGAGATGCAACCTAATTCTCAGATCCAATTTCTGTTGCAAATGATCGAACCTGTGACTTTGGAGAAGGCCTGAAGTTTGTCCATCGAGGGCTGTGCTCCGGGTCATAGCAAACCAGGGCAGACACCTTCAGCCATCTCACTTGGCTCTGTGCCTGAAGCCACTAAGGTTTCCAAAGCGGCAGGCATCCCGGTGGGGGCTCATCACTTCTCCAAACCTCTTGCTGGCCTCTGGCTTGGCTTTGGGTGGAAGCAAAAGACTGAGAGTCCGGGATTTTCTCCCTCCGTTTCTGAGATAGCAGGACGTACTAAAAAAGCACTGACCGGTCCAGTAGAAGACCCAGGTCCAAACCCAGACTCTGTCACCAACTCACAGTGACTCTGGGCAAATCTCTTCTTACCTTTGAAACTCGATTTCCTCATCTTTAAAACGGGGACAGTGGTCTGTGCCACGTGACGCCCATCTCACAGGGATGCTCAAAGAATCAAAAGAGATCGTGCAAACCTCAAGGTTTTGTGAACGCTAAACTGTGAGAACGTGAGGGATTTTACCTCCGAGGTAACCGGGTCTGAAGCTATTACAGTAATTCACTGGCGGGGAAGGAGATGCGCTGAGCATTCCCTGGAAATAAGCAGTCCTGGCCTCAATTGCATCCCCAAGTCTAAGGCGGGTGCGCCGGAGAAAGGGCACAAACTCAAGTCACAGAGGTGTGTGTGTCGGGGGAAGGGATCCCCGGGATGGAAGCCTCCCTGACGCCCTCCGAGAGTCCCAGAGGGTTGGGCGGAGGCGCGCGGAGCCGACTGCACTGTCCCCGCGGGCACGCGCACCGGGCGCGCGGAGGCTTCCTGGAGCCCAGGCAAGGGGCCTCCTTACAGCGCGGGATAGTCCCGAGGCTGGCCGGCGTTGCGCCGGTGCCAATCGGAGCGCAGCCCCCTACGGCGCTCTCCCCGCCCCGCCTCCCCGCCCCCCTCCCCAGCTTCACTTGGCCGCGCGGACCCGGCTCCCGGCTGGAGAGCTGCGGCCAAGCCATAGCCGGAGGCAAGCCCTAGCGGCGCCATCCCGGACCCCGCGCCGCCGACCGCCGGCCCGCGGGCGACGGGCATGCTGGCATGGCAGGACGGCGGGGCCAAGGCGGCTCCCTCCCACCACAAGATCTCTTTCTCCGTCCTGGACATCCTGGACCCGCAGAAATTCACCCGCGCAGCGCTCCCGGCGGTGCGCCCGGCTCCCCGGGAAGCCAGGAAAAGTTTGGCCGAGATGGAAGCGGGGAAAGATGCCAGCTCCAGGGACGCTGTACGACAGCTGGAGACCCCTGGTAAGATGCAAGGTGGCCCCGGCCCCAGGCGGCCTCAGCCCCAACACTTCGGAGTGTATGGGGGAACACCCGGGCCCGGTGAGTGGCCCTTAACGGCGTCTTCCTCAAAGAGAGAAGGCGCACGGGACCGGGTGCGAAGTGTAGCCCCCGCCTCGGAACTGGATAGAGGCAGAGAGGAGGCTCCCCGCATTACGGGGCAGGGATTTGCCGCATCCCTGCTCACCCTCCAAGCTCCCGCGCACCACAGCTCTGATGCTCGCGGTGGAAACTTAACTTACCTGGCGCCTACCTTGCCAGGCTTACTCATTTATCAGGCATTTAACGCGCTTGCCACGTGCTAGGACCTGGGCTAAGGGCTGGGATAAAGGTGATGAAAACTTCGGAACCTGAGAGTTGGACAGCATCATTAACATCACCTCCATTTTATGGATGGAGGAGCTGAGGCTAAGGCTTGCGCCGGGGGTCTTGGTAAGTAGAGAGGTCAGGTGCCACCTGGAGACGCCTGCGGAGCTAGGCTGCCCCACGCTCTCAAGCTCCCCAGACCCAACTGTTGACTGGGGCTGGGGGCGGGGCTCGGATGAGGTGCTGGGAAGCTTTTGGTACTTTCTTCTCGAAACCCTTTCTGAATTACTCCCAACGCTGGCGGACACCTGATGAAGGGGTCAGGAAAGTTTGTGGCTGGAAGGAAGGACGGAAGACAGCAGGAGTCCTGCTGGGTGGGGCGTGGGATCAGACAGGGAAAGGCGGCTCCCTGAAGGGTCAGAGGCTCTGGTCCCCGGGGAGGCTGGATGCCACGCAGCCCCTTGCTCCCCTCCCCAAGTTTGGCGGTGATTGCCTGGGGCCCGGGGCGCCTCTGGCGGCCGCACGTGGGCCCGGGCCAGCGGCCTGGTAATTGTTCGGATCTTCTCTCCGAGGGGCCGCGCTCCCTTCCCCCACCCTGGTGATCGATATTCTATTACTGGCGCCTGCATATCTCCTGCCCGCAGCTTGCAGGTACGGACTTCAAACCCCCTTTCCCTGTCTGATCCTAATATTGTTCGATTAAAACTTACCTTTAATAGATGACATCTATCGATCCGGCCCCGCACAAATCTGAAACTCTATTAACACGGCGGGAGAGAGAAGATGGGAAAGGGAATTTCACTTTAAAGCGGGGGTGGGGGTGGGGTGGGGCAGAGAGCTTAATAACTTCTTTTTTAATTGCTAGGAGTCCTAGACCAAAATAGGCTTCCAGGGTCTGGGGAAGGCACAGCCCTAAAGGCGTTTGACATCTAGATGTCTTAATACAATGATCCTACCTCCCAATATGGTCACCCAATAAGGTCACTATTTTTTCTTAATGCGGAGTGTCATTCATTCATTTAGCATACATTTCTTGGATGCCTACTTGATGGCAGATTTGTAAAGGGCAAGAGGACACCATTCCCTTAAACCCGCTGGCAAGGATGTGCAGTCCCGCCTGAGGGAAGCTTGATGTGGGGACAGGAGCAGCACCCGGAGTTGGGTTGCGGGGAGAACTGCTTGCTCTAGGGAGGACGAGGAGGAGGTTTGGGGACCCGGAGAGGCTTCTGTTCACCGACCCCTTCTCCCCTAGATGCTGCGGGCCCAGGCGCCGCCCAGGCGTCCCCCCTGGAGGGTTCCGAAGCGGAAGAGGAGGAGGATGCGGAGGATCCGGGGAGGCCGCGGCGGCGGGAGCGGGCTGCGCGCTTGCTGCCGGGCCCAGCGCGCTCACCTGACGCCCCGGCCGGGGCATTGGCGTCTGGGGAGCCCTGCGAGGACGGCGGGGGCGGCCCTGTGGGGTCCCCTCCGGGCTCCCCGGGCTCCCCGCGGCCCAGGCGCCGGCGCGTGGTGCCCAACTGCGCCAAGCCGCGGCGCGCGCGCACCGCCTTCACCTACGAGCAGCTGGTGGCCTTGGAGAACAAGTTCCGGGCCACACGCTACCTGTCCGTGTGCGAGCGCCTGAACCTCGCGCTGTCGCTCAGCCTCACCGAGACGCAGGTCAAAATCTGGTTCCAGAATCGCAGGACCAAGTGGAAGAAGCAGAACCCGGGTGCCGACGGCGCGGCGCAGGTTGGGGGTGGCGCGCCCCAGCCAGGGGCGGCGGGGGGCGGCGGCGGCGGCTCGGGGGGCAGTCCTGGCCCTCCCGGCACCGGCGCTCTGCCCTTCCAGACTTTCCCCTCCTACTCCGCGGCCAACGTCCTCTTCCCGGCCGCCGCCTCCTTCCCGCTGACGGCTGCCGTCCCCGGGAGCCCTTTCGCGCCGTTCCTCGGGCCTTCCTACCTGACCCCCTTCTACGCCCCGCACCTATGAATCAGGAGCCCCCCGGCCCCTCCTTCGCGGGATTCACGAGGGATTGGCATCGTCGTGTGCCCTCGGCTCCTCCACCCGGGGTGCAGGTGCGGGGGTGTCAGAGCGCCCCTTCCCTTCCAGAGGCCTGAGACTCCGCCCCTCTGCCCGCCTTGGGCACCTGTGATCCTCGCGAGCCACCAGGGGTCAGGGATCTGCCATCCTTCTGAGTGTCCGGGGACGGAGGCTGACCCCAAACCTTGCGGTTTCTGGACCTTGCTGTTCACTGTGGGTCAGGTTTAATTCAGTTCAGGGGCTATTTTTTGAGGCTCTGGGTGTTCGGCGCGGAGCTAACCAAGATGCCAGGAGGGAAACACGCGGAGCAGAGACGCCCTGGTTGCCAGCTGCTGGCGGCTAGGATGGAACCTTTAAAGGTGCTGGCTCATCAAAGGCTGAGAAACAGTCTCTGTTCACAACTGACAGCTTCCCCTCCTCATGCTCGATGGTTCAGCCCAAACCCAGAGAATTCTTCCAGATCCTGAACGAGGCTGGGGAAAGCTTGGTCCTGGAGCACACACGGCCCCTCTGAAACGACTATTTTTAAAATGCATAAAACTCCACATTTCTAGATCTTTACTTAAGATTCGGCCTGGAGCGCAATACTTGTTCCAAATAACCTCCCCAGGTTATTCCTGAGAGGGGGGTACCTTGGTGTTCTGAGTAGGCCGGAAGTTTGTGGTAGGAAAGGTGACTTTGATGTGTAGCTAGACTCACCTGCTAAAGTAGACACAAGTCTGTTGCACTGCAAGTTTTGAGAACAGCTTGGACCAAACCACACAGTGGACCCAAAGGCATAAAAATGATAATGAAGGCAGCAATGGCTCAACTAATATCAGGAAGTCTATGCATGAGGCTGCCTACTTTGATTTGCAGTAACTGATTCTTTAAAACTTCAGTCCTGGCTTATCTGCCTGTCCCAGGGATTCCTGGGCTCCCAGTAGTGAGCCAGGTTGGGGAAGAGCTAGCTCCACCAGCACACAATACATATGGACAGCTGAACTATTTTTTAAAAGCACAAACTCAACATTTTTAGATCTCCATCTAGGATTCTGACTTGAAAACAATTCTTATTACAAACAGACTCTCCACGGTGGTGAACAAGCGGAGATTGTAAGGGCCCATGAAAGCAATACTTGGGTGTGAAGAGCTGTCATGTTCCTACTGGATTCACCTCCAGGAACCTGATACATGGACATGCATTTTAACTGCTGCTTTTATTACCTCTCTTAAAAAATTCGTTCTGCGAAATTCCCTTGCCACTTTTGCTTGGGATACGTTTCCTTTAGTTTTCTACCTAATATAATCTTGTAGCCCACATCTCAGAAACCCGGAGGTCCCCAGTTGTGTCATGTATGTTTCATTCTCACTTTTGATTACTTGAGGCCAGCTGAGATGTATGTGGATACCATATTCCTTGATATTTTTTGGTAGCCTATGCTACTAACAATCAAATTTAGTGCTCAATGGCTTCAAAGTAAAGCACACTGTTTGGCATTATGGATTGCAGTTCCATTACTATGATCTTGAAATAGCTTGTTCTATCATCAGGAATGATAGAAAATATTCCCCATTTCTCCCAAATTAAATGAAGACTTTATGGTTCATGTGACTCTCATAAGGTTTGATACTATATATTATTTAATTACTTAATATCCACTAATTAGACTCTTTTCCTTCTAAAGAAGAATGTCCCCCAGACAACACATTGTAACTTTCTAAAAGACAGTTGGTGCCAGATGAGATTAAAAATGCAGATACTATACGAGATAATATTTACCTTACCCTTTGGTAAACACTCCTTTAATAACTATTCGTTGGTTTCTCAAAAGCAATATCCCATATTAAGCAGACAATTCAAGTGTGACAATTCCTCTGTAACAAATACGCTGAATTTCTGTAATAAGTGGGAAACATTTCATTCCAGTCTTCTCAGGTACCAGAATCACGGACGTCAGTAGAAGAGAGGAAATAGGGAGGGAGGTGGGAGACTGATGTGTTCGTGGCCTAGCATGGTGCTGTGATTCCTGACCCTCTGGTTTCCACAGATTGTTGCAGAGTCATGCTTGAAGTGTGTGACTTTGGACTTCTGCTGCTTTAAAAGGCCCAGTGGCTTTCCAACCAAATCCTTAGACTCAATCTATTGGTGTGTTTGTCTAATAAATTCTTTTTGTAATACATTCATTTTTATTTCTTGTTTCATTATTCCTTGTTTTTCTATTAGCAAAGCTTTAAAATAAGTATATATGTATCTCCTCTTCTTCCCGCAATCCCTAAATAGGGAATATTTCTACACTAACACTCCTTTGCTCAGCCATTTCAGACCCATGCTAGATATACCCAGAGTGGCTATATTTGCATGCAGTATATACAGACACACATTTCAGGCCATTTTCTTAGCAGAAGCAAAGCATCTTCACAGAATTTGAACTAGTGGCTGCTAATTACATCAACACCAACCTATTAGATTTCTAGGACATTAACTTCTTAGCCTTAACCTTACAAGTTCTTAATACCCCAAAACAGCCTGATTGGTAACTTTTCTGACTTCAGCCATCTGCTGGTCATAGATTTCTGATGTTAAATATTACCATTTTAGATCCCTGTTTGAAACCACATAGTCAAGGAACTGTATTTATAGGAGTGACTGGAGAGCATTTCTTACACTGAGAGAACCATAATCCAATTTATGGGCAGAAATTAATTTAGTGTGTTTATCTTTATAGTAATAACTTTTTTTTCTTTGGGGCAGGGTCTTGCTTTGTCACTCAGGCTGGAGTACAGTGGCACAATCAAGGCTCACTGCAGCCTCAACATCCCAGGCTCAAATGGGCCTCCCACCTCAGCCTCCTGAGTAGCTAGGACCATAGGCACATGTACTATGCTTGGCTAATTTTTTGTTTTTTAATTTTTGTAGAGACAAGGTCTGGTTGCCTAGGCTGAGCTTAACCACCTAGGCTCAAGCAATTCTACCACTTCAGCCTCCAAAGTAGCTGGCACTACAGGGTCCTGCCACCACATCTGGCTGATTTTTTATGTATTTTTTGTAGATATGAGATCTTACTATGTTGCCCAGGCTGGTCTCAAACCCCTGAGCTCAAGCAGTCCAGTAGCCTCAGCCTCCCAAAGTACTGGGATTACAGGCATAAGCCAAGGATTCTCACTCTTTGTTTTTTTTAAGACAATTAGAGTCTCACTCTGTCGCCCAGGCTGGAATGCAGTGGCACAATCTCGGCTCAGTGCATGCTCCGCCTCCCGGGTTCATGCCACTTTCCTGCCTCAGCCTGTAGCTGGGACTACAGGCACCTGCCACCAGGCCTGGCTAATTTTTTTGTTTTTGTTTTTGTTTTTTTTTGGTAGAGATGAAGTTTCACTGTGTTATCAGGATGGTCTCGATCTCCTGACCTTGTGATCCGCCCGCCTCGACCTCCCAAAGTGCTGGGATTACAGGTGTGAGTTACCGCGCCCGGCAGGATTCTCACTCTTCAAGTATTCTCCTTTCTTTGGACAGATCTGTGGTTTTCCTAATTGAAGGACACAGTCTCATTCTGTCACCCAGGCTGGAGTGCAGTGGCATGATCTCAGTTGACTGCAACCTCCACTTCCTGGGTTCAAGCAATTCTTCTGCCTCGACCTCCTGAATAGCTGGGACTACAGGTGTGTGCCACCATTCCTGGCTAATTTTTGTATTTTTAGTAGAGTCAGGGGTTCACTGTGTTGGCCAGGCTGGTCTTCGATTCCTGAAAGTGATCCACCAGGCCTTACAAAGTGTTGGGATTACAGGCGTGAGCCAGTGTGCTGGGCCTGATTACACTTTTGAAAGGAAATCTAAGTGTGGTGCAGACAATTACCATCCTTTACCTGTAGACCTGGAGAGAGGAAAAGGTGCGTTTTAAATTAATCTGTCTCCTCCCTTTTCTGCTTGGAACCTTTTATGAAAATTAGTTGCTTTTATATTTTCTCACTATACATTTTCTGGATACATGTAATGTGTGTTTTGCAGATGCAGTTAATTTATTTACTGAGTGGCTAGTTGCTGTGTCAGGTGCTATGAGGGCTACAAAGATGAACCATTGAGTCTTCGTCATGTGGATCTCACCAATAAGGAATGCAAGAAAAATCAGGAAAGTACTGTCATAGGTATGTCATTTTTTTATTCTTTTAACTTTTATTTTGGCATAATTGTAGACTTAAGAAAAGTTGTAACAATAGTACTAAAAATTTCCTTTTATTGGCCAGGTGCGGTGGCTCACACCTGTAATCCTAGCACTCTGGGAGGCCGAGGTGGGTGGATCACGAGGTCAGGAGTTCATGATCAGCCTGGCCAATATGGTGAAACCCCATCTCTACTAAAAAATACAAAAATTAGCCGGGCATGGTGGCGCGCGCCTGTAGTCCCAGCTACTCGGGAGGCTGAGGCAGGAGAATCGCTGGAACCCAGGAGGTGGAGGTTTCAGTGAGCAGAGATTGCACCACTGCACTCCAGCCTGGGCAATAAGAATGAAACTCCATCTCGAAAAAAAAAATAATAATAATGAGCCTGGTGCAGTGGTGCACACCTGTAGTCCCAGCTACTCGGGAGGCTGAGGTGGAAGAATCGCTTGAGCTCAGGATGTCAAGGCGGCAGTGAGCCGTGATTGTGCCACTGCACTCCAGCCTGGGTGACAGAGTGAGACCTTGATTCTAAAAGAAAAAGAAATAATTCATGAGTAACTGGATATTTACAGAGTTTTACACTCTGTCCCCACAAGGTACTTAATACAAAGGGAAAGAAGACCAAGACGACCAAGGGAGGCTGAGGAACTGTTCTGGGCTAAAGAAGCCTAAACAGGACAGCAAGGCAACACATTGGAGGTTTTCCTTCTGTTGTAAAGGAGAACAAATGAAATCTGGATTAGGCCTCTAGATTAAGTAATGGTGCCATACCAGCATTGAGTTCTTGGTTTTTATAATTACTCTGTGGTTATAAAAGAGAAAGTCATTGTGCTTTAGGAAAAACACACTAAATATTTATGGGTAAAGAGACATCACGTCTGCAACTTCCTCTCAAACAGCTTGGAAAACAATGTACAATATGTGGGCGTGGGAGGGGAGAAGGGAGTGAACATACCAAGACCAAAGCAGTAAAATGTTAGCACTTGGAAAACCTGGGTGAAGAGGCCTCAGCCTCCCAAAGTGCTGGGATTACAGCCATGAGCCACCATGCCTGGCTAACTTTTGTTTTTTGAGATGGGGTCTTACTATGTTGCCCAGTCTGTTCTCAAACTCCCAGGCTCAAACAATCCCCCTGCCTCGGCTTCCCAGTGTGCTGAGATTATAGGCATGAGCAACCATGTCTGCCCCAGAAATACTCCTAAGAACCAATTTAACTAGATTTTAGAATTATGAGTAGGGTAACACAAAATTGTTTTCAATAAATGCTGTTTGGAATACTCTTTTTGGTTAAGATACTACAATTCTATATACCTGCTAGCCATTTGGGTGATCTGTTTTGATGAAGTGCCTCTTCCGCTATCTAATTCCCACATTTATTGGTAAAGTAAATGAAGTCTTTAATACATTTGGAAGCATAATTCCATCCTGTGGTCAGTTGAAACACCTGACTTTTAGGGGAATTGGGAAGACACAGATTCAGGGAAAGAAAAATGGAGAAAGGCCAGATGCAGTGGCTTTTGCCTGTCATCCTATCACTTTGGGATGAGGTGAGCCGATCACTTGAACTCGGGAGTTTGAGACCAGCCTGGCAACATGGCAAAACCCCATCTCTACTAAAAATATAAAAATTAGCCAGATGTGGTGGTGCACGCGTGCCTGTAGTCCCAGCTACTTGGGGAGCTGAGGTAGGAGAATTGCTTGAGCCCAGGAGGTCAAGGCTGTAGGGAACCATGATTCTACCACTGCACTATAGCGTGGGCAACAGAGGGAGACCCTGTCTCAAAAACAAAAAAGAAAAAACAAAAAACAAACAACAACAACAAAACAAGAAACAGAACTTTGCCAGCACCCTTCTAATTATTACCCTCCCCAAGAGAAACCATGATTCTGATTTCAAACAGCAGGGAGAAGTTGTGTCTCCTTTTTTCCTGTAATTATAAAAACAATCATATGGTGTGATCTCTCGTGTCTGGGTTATTTTGCTCAACACTATGAGTTTCATACATATTGTTTTGCGTAGTTGTAGATTTTTCATACCTATTACTGTTGGTATTTTACGGTACTGTGAACGCCACAACTTATTTGTTTGTTGATAGGTAACTGAGTTCTTTCCATTTTGGGGCTACTATGACTAAACATTCTTAAGCATGTCTTTTGGTAAATAAACCTTTGGTAAAATATCTAGGCCAGGCGTGGTGGCTCACGCCTAATCCCAGCACTCTGGGAGGCCGAGGTGGGCGGATCACCTGAGGTCAAGAGTTCAAGACCAGCCTGGCCAACATGGTGAAACCCAGTCTCTACTAAAAATACAAAAATTAGCCAGGCGTGGTGGCAGGCACCTATAATCCCAGCTACTCGGGAAGCTGAGGCAGAAGAATCGCTTGAACCCCAGAGGCAGACGTTGCAGTGAGCCAAGATCATTCCATTGCACTCCAGCCTGGGGACAAGAGTGAGACTTCGTCTCAAAAAAAAAAAATTGAAAAGTGGGACTACTGGTTATGCAGATGTCTAGCTGTAGTACATATTGCCAAACAGTTTTTTTTTTTTGAGATGAAGTCTTGCTCTGTCACCCAGGCTGGAGTGCAGTGGTGCAATCTCAGATCACTGCAACCTCTGCCTCCTGGGTTCAAGCAATTCTCCTGCCTCAGCCTCCTGAGTAGCTGGGAATACAGGCGTGTGATCCCACGCCCAGCTCATTTTTCTGTTTTGTTTTGTTTTGTTTGAGACAGAGTCTCGCTCTGGCTCTGTTGCCCAGGCTGGATGGAGTGCAGTGGCGCAGACTCGGCTCACTGCAAGCTCCGCCTCCCGGGTTCACGCCATTCTCCTGCCTCAACCTCTCAAGTAGCTGGGACTACAGGTGCCCGCCACCATGCCCGGCTAATTTTTTGTATTTTTAGTAGAGATGGGGTTTCACCATGTTAGCCAGGATGGTCTCGATCTCCTGACCTCATGATCCACCCGCCCTGGCCTCCCAAAGTGCTGGGATTACAGGCGTGAGCCACCGCACCTGGCCTAATTTTTCTTTTT